GGTGTGTGTGTGTGTGTGTGTGTGTGTGTGTGTGTGTGTGTGTGTGTGTGTGTGTGTGTGTGTGTGTGCGTGCGGTCACACGCAGGGCCGTCCCTGGCCAACTTGAGGCCCCTCGCAAAGTTAGATGCTGAGGCCCTCTGNACAAACGTGACAGATGAAGGAAACCCCCACACACACACACACACACACACACACACACACACACACACACACACACACACACACACACACACACACACACACACACACACACACACACACACCAGGAGTGCGTAGGTCAGGCCCAGCCCCACCAGGCCAGTGGACAGCTCGTTGTAGAGAGAGTTGGTGATGGAGGCCACGGCTGCCACCAACACCACACATGCTCCAACATACTCCTGCACAGAGACAAAATCAACTTCACAGCAGGAAGATAATACGGCACCCAATTATTCAGCTAGGTCAATACAAATAGATGCAGATACATTATTGCAGATTAGTTTGTTGCCAACACACACATACACACACATACAATATCTTAACACCTCTGTTATGTTGAAACAGGAGAGGCCAAATGACCAGCATGCCGCACGCAGCTGTTTCATAACCATGAAGGTAGAGTGTGATATTAAAGAGTGAGGAACAATTCAGTTTTTCAGAATCCCAACAGAGGGAGCCAGCAACATCAACAGAAATGTGAAGCAGCTGCTGTCTGGCGAACAGTCAACAGGTCTGATCTGAGGGTAAGTAACAGATCAGAGGACGGGGCTTTACCATGCGGACCTCCAGCCAGCGGTTGGCTGCCGTGAGGAAGACAGAGGCGATGTTGTGAGCGTCCGTGAACTGAAGTAACCTCTGTCTGAACCGGGGCTCATACCTGCCAATCAAAAAAGCACATGTCTCATTTATATCAGTCTCACTTTTCTACGTGTTATGTCCTGCCTACACTTTTTTCCTGCTAGTTTGCAGTCATTAACCTATTACTCCTTTATTTTCTAATTTCTTAAAATGTTTAACCTGTGTTGACAATGATATATATTAATAATATTTGTTTGAACTCTTTCATCATTCTGAACAGCAAAGCTCAAACATCCAAATGAAGCAACAACAAGCACATTTAGAGATTAAATCCTCCTCTTTGTGCAAAGTAATACACATTTATGTAAATCTTCCAGTTAGCCTTGAGGCTAGTTTTCATCTGTAGTGCTGGGACAGATGTTGTTAGTCACCATAAAGACACATTTCATTTAAAGTAACAAGTAAATCCATCAGTAAAATGTAGATAAACCTAATATAGATGCTTATATTACTTGAAATGCTAATACAAACAGTAATCCTCAGCTCTTATTGCTCATTTTCTTAAAGTAGTTGAATCTACTGATATGTACCTGAGGGCCCTGATAGTGGTGAGACCTTCCACTGTCTCAGAGAAGTGGCAGAGCAACGGGAGCTGGGTGATGTCCACCAGCTGCTGCAGGTCCCTGACCACAAGACAGAGGGAAATATCAACTGTAGCAAAGTTCAAATTATTTGAAAAGGTCGATAATGAAACAAAAGAAAGATAATGTCACTGTGACATGCATCCCACTTCTGTGCAGCCACTTGCATTGGACTGTGGGTCATGGCATGCATGTGTTTAGTGGGAAATAATTACACTAGAGTGTTGGTGAAACCAGTGGCAAACATTTTTACAGCATACATCGAATTTATTTCCCAAAATGTCTGTGCGTTATGGGGAATCTGTTGATTATATTGGGTGACTCAATATATTCTCCCTCAAAATTATATTTATTTAACCCTTCAATTATTTGTTAATTAAAAGTTCAAATAATGATAAAAATGCAATTTCAAAGCCTGCCAAAAAGCATGTTAAAAAAGGTGGAGAAACCCAAACTGATCTTACTTCTTTCACATTTTCTAATGTCTAATTTCTCACACAAGAACATTAAAAACAATCCTCTGTTATATGCTCTGACTCAGGGAGCCGACTCACCTGGAGGCCACCCTGAAGTACTTCTGGATGAAGTAGCAGGCGATGGTGAGCGGCAGCAGGGCGAAGAGAAAGACGGGGGTCACGTAGGAGATGACGCCCAGGGCGGACACACACAGCAGGGTGGAGCGGGACAGGCACTCCAGGGTGGTGGGGATGTGCTGGTCGATGGTGTTGGTGTCTGTGGAGAACCTGTTGAGGATGCTGCCGAGCGGAGTCGTCTCAAACAGCCTGCAGAGATAAAAAAGATGTATTAACACTCAGAAATCTATTTTCCTTTTTTAATTATAATAGTGATTTCATTTCAAAACCATTTATTTGCCCAGATTGTTTCTATGATATACTAAATCCTTAGAGACCATAATTATATTTCAGAGATTTCCAACTGACAATATTTATGAATCTTCTCAGATGTGGTGGTTGAATAAATGATTTAACGTGAAATGCATCTGTTTGTTTAGCTGTGTGTGAGTCTATACATTACATGCAGGTTTTTGATGTGCATGTGGACGTCTTTATGTAAGTGATGTCTCCTGGGCTCTATTTAAGGAAAGCAGATGGTGCCTTGGGTAATGGGGCGAACAAAGATGCTTTTAACAGCGTTTCCATGTTTAATTGATCTGTTCCAGCACACACACACAGTATCAGTGAGCATTCATCTCTCTGCCTCCTGCACACTTCATGAGGCAGAGCTACAGTGCACACACACCCACGCACGCACGCACGCAGCCACGCGTACGCACGCACGCGTACGCACGCACGCACGCACGCACGCACGCACGCACGCACGCACGCACGCACGCACACACGCACGCACGCACACAGGGGATAGGCACGCACACACACAACACACACACACACACACACACACACACACACACACACACACACACACACACACACACACACACACACACACACACACACACACACACACACACANTGTGTGGTTGTGGTTGTGTGTGTGTGTGTGTGTGTGTGTGTGTGTGTGTGTGTGTGTGTGTGTGTGTGTGTGTGTGTGTGTGTGTGTGTGTGTGTGCACACACACACACACACACACACACACACACACACACACACACACACACACACACACACACACACACACACACACACACACACACAACCACAACCACACACACAC